AATTGATCTATCTTCAATAACACCTGTTTTTAATTTCTTTGAGCATGGTAATAAAAAAATTATCTTTGTGTATTAACTAACTATATGTATAAATTATTATGTACTACGTAAATTAATATGGTGGACACACTCAATGTTGAAATTCCATCTCCCAAGACTAAAATTTGCAACCTTTAGAGATCAACAAAATCTAAAAGATGTTTTCGAAAAAATATGACAAAGCTTCAATGTTTGAAGCTTGGATGATTTTCAATACACATTATGATGCGGGATAAAATTTGACGTGTGCAAAGAATTTGTAATACCCCGTATTAAGATGGGAATGGGAAGAGCTCAAAAGGATTGATAGTACTACTCATACCAACAAGGTGCATCTTCTTTTCGGGAGCTCATCACCTAGAAACTTCAAAGTTAAGCGTGCTTGACCTGGAGCAATTTTAGGATAGGTGACCCCCTGGGAAATTCCTTGGGCGCGCACGGGTGAGGACAAGGTGCGCGAGAAAGACTTGTGTTGGTTTGTGGGACTAGTCTACAATCCTATGAGCAGACACTTACGGCTAGGGTGGGGGCCGGGGTGTTATAAATGGTATCAGAGCAACCCTGCGACCGTGACGGGCCAATGAGCTTAGTTCACATAGCGGGGAAGATCTAGGGATTTGAAAAAAGAAGGATGCAACGAGGACGTTGCATTCCTAAGTGGGGGTGAATGTAATACCCCGTATTAAGATGGGAATGGGAAGAGCTCAAAAGGATTGATAGTACTACTCATACCAACAAGGTGCATCTTCTTTTCGGGAGCTCATCACCTAGAAACTCCAAAGTTAAGCGTGCTTGACCTGGAGCAATTTTAGGATGGGTGACCCCCTAGGAAATTCCTTGGGCGCGCACGGGTGAGGACAAGGTGCGCGTGATAGTACTACTCATACCAACAAGGTGCATCTTCTTTTCGGGAGCTCATCACCTAGAAACTCCAAAGTTAAGCGTGCTTGACCTGGAGCAATTTTAGGATGGGTGACCCCCTGGGAAATTCCTTGGGCGCGCACGGGTGAGGACAAGGTGCGCAAGAAAGACTTGTGTTGGTTTGTGGGACTAGTCTACAATCCTATGAGCAGACACTTACGGCTAGGGTGGGGCCGGGGTGTTACAGAATTTCCAGATCTTTTTGTGTACAACCACAAAGTGCGGAAATGGTCCGATGAACAAAGACCGTCAATAGGGAGGCTACAATATGTGCTTCCAGAAACCACCATCAATAGGAAGGCTACAATATGTGCTTCCAGAAACCAGAGAGTTATACAACTTGAGAATAGTATTAAGTGTCCAGCGAGGATGTATAAGTTATAAGAGCTTGAGAAGAGTTAACAATGTTCTACATAACGCATTCATAGAAGCATGTGAAGCATTGACGTTATTAACCGATGATAAATAACTTATTGAAGGTATTAAAGAGGTTGCTAAGTTAGGATTTGAGAATATGCTAAGAATGTTGTTCGTCCAAGTATCATGAGTCACCCACAAATTATTTTTTTAAAAAAATAGGAACTCCTGTTTAATGAAATTTATTTGACCGAATGTGAATATTGTGGAATCAAGTTACTTGAATATAAAGAAAGTTTTTAAACCTATCAATCCATCTGAAATGCATTATATGAAAACAAAACTCTTTAATTGAGTACTGCATAGAAACAAATAAATCTTTTTTTGCAGAGCTTATAATCTCCCGAGAAGACTTAAAGAATTTATGTCTAATTGAGATTGAAGAGTTGCTTGTTTGGAATGGACGGTCTTTAAAGTAATTCAGTGGCATGCCATTTGGAGATGACAATCAATTTAATAGATATCAAAATAATTTCTTGGTAGAGGAGTTAAACTATGACAATGAAAAGTTGTCATTTGATCTTAGAGGATATTTATCTATGATGAATGAATATCAGTGGAATATATCTAATGAAATAATGGAAGTCGTGATAGCTGAAAGAGAGAGTTCTTTTTTGTGCATGGTTACGGTGGAACTGGAAAAATATTTCTTTAGAAATCATTATCTACTTTTCTGAGGTCAAACAGTAATGTTGTCCTGAATGTCACATCCAACTACATTGTAGCATCGATTTTTCCTAGGGGAATGAGACTCGAGATTTTTAATCCCTTTGGTGCCAACTGAGTGCTCATTGTATGCCATCAAACAAGGGAGCCCGAAAGTAGACCCAATCCAACAAGTATAATCATATGGGAATTATCTTCTACGATGAAGTTGAATTGCACAATGAGAGATGTAATGAGTATATCTAATAATAACTTCATAAATTAACCATTCGGAGGAAAAACAATTGTACTCAAAGGTGATTTTATCCAAATTTTTTCAGTTTTACTCATAGCTTTGATAGTGGAAATTGTAGGTGCTACCACTAATTCCTCACAAATGTGGTTGTATTGTAAAATTTATACGTTGACCAAAAATATGAGATTGCATTAATCTACACTCTCTTGCACAGATAGTGACACAGAAGTTTTTTCTGATTGGATAATCAAAGTCGAAGATGGAAAATTTAGACAAGTGATCAATGGAATTGCTCACGTTGAAATCCCGCCTGAATTTTTGATTCTTGAAATAAGTTATCCCCTCAAAAGAACAATGGAATTCACTTATCCGAACCTACTAGAGAACATGAAAAATTATTTTTTTAAGGATAGTGGAGTATTATCACTCACGCTCGAGTTTGTTGAATGGTAAATGAATTTGTCATATCCCTTATTCTAGGAGGTGAAAAAGAGTACTTAATTTTTTATTCTTCATGCAAAGTTAACAATTGGATAACACTTTAGGTTTTTTAATAAAATCAAATGTTCAGGGATCCTAAACCACAAAATAATTTTTAAAAATAGGATCCTGATTATGTCATTAAAGAACATTGACCAAATATCTGGATTGTGTAATGGTAGAAGATTAATCGTTGAGAAGTTGAGAAAGAACATTATCACTGCAATAGGCGTTTTGGGAAATCAGTTGGGAAAAAGATTTATATACCCCGAATGAATTTAGTATCATTTGATTCAGGACTACCCTTGAAATTCTAGAGAAGACAATTCTTAATATTATTATATTTTGTTATGACTATTAACAAAAGTCTAGGTCAAACATTGTTTTTTGTTGTACTCCGTATTATTTTTAACAAATTCAGTATTTACTCATGGTTAGCTTTATGTTACTTTTTCACGAGTGAAAGCAAAGACATAATTAAAAATATTGGTTCTAGATGATAATGGAAATCATTACAACCATACCAAAGATGTGTACCCTAAAGTCTTTCAAAAAAATTAGAATTAAAAAAGATTTTTTCGAGTACACTTCCAGTTCCTCAAATACTATTTATTCTACTTTGTCGTTGTTCATTGATTAAAAATCGTGTTAGAAATATATTTTATTTGATTCCGGAAAATATATTACATTGAAAAAAAATTAGAATCGACAAAAATTTTGTTCGACCCCGTGCGTCGCACGGGTAAAAATACTAGTACTATCCGAAGTATACCAGTCAACTTTTGAGTCCACTAACCACTATTTTACTGACGACTTAGGTCTCCCATCTTGGAAAATTAACTCGACCGGTTGGAAGTAGGAGCGTCTACATTGACCGGTTCTAGGTGGAATACACCCATCAGGGTCAAATGTGGATGAATATTTTTCTCACCCTTCACGTGATCCATCACTCAACCCATTCATGTTTTACTTTAAAAAGATTAAAATTAAAAATATTTGTTTTGTTGAGTACATAAGTTTGTTCTACTATACTTTCTAATGTACCAATTTATTAAAAAAACTTTATTTCTATCTTAGAAAATTGTTTCTTTGAATGATTTCATTAGAGACATCATTAATCTCTTATTTGTCAATGAATTTTTCTATATTTTGCACTTCATAAGTTGTTATATCACCGATTTTCACCCGATTCACCCGTTTCCCTCGCGAGTGATGAATCGATTTAATAATGGTTGATGTATGTAATGGTCTAATGGATAATGAATGAAGCTCTACCCGACCAAAACCGAAACCGATCTATTGTTGTAAACAATCCATTTGATTCCCCATTTGTGTACATGCAACTTCTGCTCTTTTGTCAAAATATAGATCTAGAAGGATGTACAACAATTCCATTTGGCCGACCAAATTAACTCCTATTCCCATGACTTTATTACGGAGTAAAAGTCAAAGCAAGTTCCACTAAAAGTCATGAGTGTCAAGCCAATTTTGTTGCTTTCAACTCTTCTTAATGTGAATGAGAAAATTGTGTTCTCAATGGACATCTTGTGAATGGAAGAAATGTATTTTCAACTCCCACTAGTATGACCAAAACGTGATACCCCCTCTTTCCCTGAATATTTGTCCATTTCTGACTATTTTGGTCAAAATTGATAAATTTTGACCTCAAATTAAATAAAAAGGATATTAGATATTGATACAAAAATAGTTTTATTAGATTTATTATATCAAATATTTTTGAAATATGATTTATCTAATTAATATATAATATATATTTTATTTAATTATAGGTCAAAGATTGAAAATGATTGACCGAAAAAAGTCAAAACTGGACAAATAATACTCAGGGGCGGAGGCAGTACAAATTATGTTCTACTTACTAATTACTCATCCGTCTCGCAATAATATTTCGCTTTTTTTAGTCCATCCGAAAAAGAAGTGTTTCATTTTTTATTTTGGAATTTTTTTTGTGATCTGTAAATTATCCTTTTTGCTAGATTACAACGTAACCACACAAGTTTACTTTTTTTATCACCATACTTGACCAATTTAAAATTTTATTGTGAAACAGAAAGTATATAGTAATGGTCTATGCGAGGCACTGATAATTAATTATTATCGGTGTGACTTTATAAAACACTATGATGTTACAATTAAAATCATGTAAAAAATGGTGTCACCTTAGTTTTCATTAGGTGGCAGTATTGCTCCTATAAATATAGACCCACATTTTGCAAACTAACACCATAAACAAACCCCCATTGCACGGTCCAAATTTCCAAAAAAAAAAAAAAAGAAGCTAGTGATCATGGGCAACTCTCTCTTCTTCACTCTCCTCGCCATCTCCGCCGTCCTCCTCGCCGCCATCCCTTCCCCGGCCGCCGGAGACGGCCACGTCTTCGGGAAATCGATCCCGCGGAAATCCCTAGGCCTGAAGAAGGAAAAGCTCAGCCACTTCCGTTTCTACTGGCACGACGTCCAGAGCGGCCGGAACCCGACCTCCGTCATGGTCATCCCGCCGCCGGGAAACTCCACCACCGGGTTCGGCTCCGCGAACATGATCGACAACCCGTTGACCCTCCGGCCGGAGTTGACCTCCGAGTGCGTCGGGAGGGCTCAGGGGATGTACGCGTCGGCGTCCAAGGAGGGGATCGGTCTGCTGATGGTCATGAACTTCGCGTTCATCGAAGGGAAGTATAACGGGAGCACCCTCACGGTGGTCGGCCGGAATTCGGTGTTCGACGAGGTGCGGGAGATGTCGGTGATCGGCGGCAGTGGACTTTTCCGGTTCGCTCGGGGTTACGTTCTGGCAAAGACGCACTGGTTGGATCTGCAAACCGGTGATGCCACGGTTGAATACAATGCATATGTTTTGCATTATTGAGATTTATTATCATTTGGGGACCACTTTCTCCCATTTTTGTTATTGACTTATTAGTAATTGTAGAGTCATAAATAAACAGTTCACAGAATTCATAAACTTATTTTTTTCTAAAAATAAGATTCACTCAAATAATAAAAGATATTTTAATTTAAAATCTATAAAAGACAAGTTTGTAAAATTTGTGAACTATTTATTTGTGACTCTAGCATTATTGGTAGTAGGGCCCTTGGGATGGGCACATCCTTTTTGTTATTGACTTATTAGTGTTAAAATATTATGATAAATAAAAGGTACATGTTCGGAATACACTCAAATGTGTTTGTCTGTATTTGCCTGATGTACAAATGAATTATTCTATTTTTGGTATATTTCTAGGTTAATTCTAAATAAAAAGGCAATATTGCGTTGTTTTTTAATAGGAAAAACGAAGAAGAAATTACCCATTCCCTTGTATGAGTGGTAAGAAGTTCATTTTTTAAGATTCATCGAAAAGTTCACCCAGATATGAGTCCAGCGGAGACAGATCTGTTGATTTTTTGTGTATTATTAAGTTAAGAAATGTATGATCAGATACGAAATAATATATTTGTTATATATTCGGGAGCGTGCCCGAAGACTTTCCGTAGCCCACCAAGGGAAAGACGGATCAGGGGAATAAAGCTCAAGTGTGGTGACATTAATTGGGTTGTAACTTCTCTATTTTCCTGTCTTAGAACCCAACCCAACACCATAGTTGTCCTACACCCACCTTAGGCTAAGCCCACACTCCCCATACCTTTCCTAAACATCCAAAACATTTCCTTTTCAAAATAAAGTTTTTCCTACTCTTATTTTAGCCCCTGGCCAAAAATAAGAGTGTGTAAACCAAAACCCTTTTTTTGTTGTTATTTTCCTTCTTTTAAGCCTTTTAATAAACAAATAAAAACCTTTCCTTCCTTCCTTTCCTCCCCTGCCCAAAATACACTTCACAACCCCAACACAACACATACAAAGAGCCAAAATCCTGACCCACCACCAGCCCATACTTCCTGCCCATGTTCCCTAACAAATAACCCAAACCCATAAGTCCAAAAACCACCCAGGATATTACCCATATCTGCCCCTCTTTATTGGCCAAAAACAACCCCCAATCTTAACCAAATAATAGCCACAAAACCCAGGAAAACAATCACTACCAACCAAACCTCAAAACCTCACAACCCCAACCCCTCCCTGATTTTATCCCACTAAGGAGACAGGTTTGAATGAAAAATGCCCCATGCTTTGGAAGTGGATGTTGTTAGGAAGCTTCCTAATGTTCACATTCAATGTATAGTGTATGTGTAACACCCGCCTTCCGTGGACCCGGTTTACCCGCGACCCAACGGACCGGTAGGGTTACATGGGCGGTCCGAGAACTGTCCGTAACAAAAATATTAATGTCCATTTATTATGAAAACGGTTGTGTTTAATTAGTGGAATAAATGCTAGGGAGTTAACCCCAAACGTGTACGATATAAAAGCAGAGTAAAAGCGGAAGTAAATAAATAAGTCCAAAATAAGTAGAAACAACATATGGTGAGTTCATGCCCAATTGATTAATTAATTAAATATATTTAAATATTAAACTTGTTCGTGCGCCGCTCATCTTCCCATCATCACTGTCCTCCAAGGTTAGCACCTGTACCGTCATGTCTACCTGCGTGTAGCAAAAACAATTACACGCTCAGCAAAAGCTGAGGAGTGAATCTAACAAAAGAACATTAAGTGATAACTCATATGATTATACACATACTAATACCTGTATTTAACGTACGGAAAACCACATGTTTACTAACTGTTTAGTTTGCACCTGTTGGGGTACTATACACATAACGGAATGATTTATATATGATCACATTAAATGTTGATGTGATATGGAACATACATGATGATGATATGGCTTGATGCATGACTTAAACTATCAGGGACACCCCTGGCTTAGTCTCACCTGACAGGATCACCCTGCACTCCGGTTGTCATACCAAAACGGTAATGAGCCGGGAAAAAGTGGACTAGCAAAACCGGGTAGTAGCCGTAACCTGACTACCATGTACGTACACAAGCCCACCTGATGAAAACCTGTTGGATCCCAAAGGTTCCTGGACGGGCCCATTGTAGTAGGCGCACGAAAGCCTGACCTCCCTACAGCGGTATCCACATGATGATAAACCTAGGACATGCGTCTAGAATGAACCTAATGAATGCTTGATATATTTACCTTTGGTCAACGCCAAGAATATATCAATTAAATAACATTTATAATGAAGATTAACATATCATGCAAAAAGACAAACAGATTTTGGGTCAACATGGTCAACGGTGCTCGTTCTACAAACTGTCCAGAGTTCTGCCCGAAGAACGGTCGACCGTGCCCTACCGGCGGTCGACCGTGAGCTACGGTCTGGGTCTGGGTCACAGACGGTCCACCTAGGTCTTCCGTCGCGGCTGACAGTCGACCGTCACGGTGATGACCGTCGGAACGGCTGAGGGTACGGTCCACCGTCCGAAGCGACGGTCGACCGTCCCGGTGACAGTCTTCTGTCCTTTGCTACGTTTTGATCCGTTTTGAAATTTTAATGCCTTAATTCTTTTTAGGACAATAATACAAACATTTGTGGGATATTTTCCAAGTGATTCCTAGGCCAATATATATAAGTTTACGTAGTGAACGTTTTGATTGCTAACCTACGAACATGCATAGATTCTACGTAGGTTGCATACGATATTCCTATGAATATAACGACATGGATTATAACTAAATGTTCTAGAATTAGAGGGGACAACTACTCACCTCTAAATGAAGGGGTTGACGGATCGATGGAACGAGATGTACGAACAACGTCTAACGAACAGACGACGAATCAACGAACAAACGATGAACAAATGGCTTCTTGTGTGAACCTCTCCTCTTCTACCTCCTCGTCTACTCGCCGGAATTCCCCCTAGTCTACCTGCTGCTGGTTGGCCGAGAATGCAAGCGAAGGAGGATGAGGGTGGTGTGTGTGTGGGAGTTACAAATGTGGTGGAGAAGGTGAAGGGAAGGGACTAATATATTGAATGGAAATTAATAGAATAATAATGGGTATTTAATTGTAAGGGAAAATGAATGGTATGGAGGTGTGGGTGGCGTGAGAATTGATGTTATTAAATGGGGAGTTATCTCCCTAATTTCTATTCCGTTGTGTAAAATCTGACTTGAACGGTACGCGGTTTTCCCCCCGAACGGGTCCGAATTGAGATCCGTTTGTGTTTCCGGAATCAGACAGTCAAAACGAATTTAGGGCCTGTTCTTTAGGGTTTGAACTCTTAACTTCCAGTTTCTTCAAGTTCCTTCCAGTTTCTTCCAGTTTTTTCCAGTTTCTTTCAGTTTCTTCCAGTTCCTTCCAGTTTATTATAGTTTCTTCCAGTTCCTTCCAGTTTCTTCTAGTTCTTTCCAGTTTCTTCCAACTTTTCTCATTTTCTTCAAATTCTTTCTACTCCTCAACCAATTACTCTAAAAATAATATATTTTAATGTGATTATTATTATTATTTTTATTATTATTTTTATTATTATTATTTTATTATTATTATTATTATTATTATTATTATTATTATTATTATTATTATTACAACTATTATATTCATAGCTATAGTTTATAAATTATTTTTTTTCATCTCAATTTTTTTACGATTCACACTTTTTATTTTTTTCTTCAACTTTTTATTATGAATAAGACATTTTTGTTATATACTAGTCTACATGATAAAACAGGAAAACATCAATATGTTAAATTATACTAAAAAAGTATGGATAAAATAGTTACATTGAATGCTTTATTAATATAACTTTTTATAAGACATCTCAGTTTTCCCTTTATTACTTAAAAATTGATCATTTTTCTAATTTTTATAAAAAAAGTTGTAAGTCAAAAGAGATTAGAGAAAAAGACTAAAATATGAATAAAACATAAAAAATGTAAACAAAAAAGTTCTATGTCTTTATTCCAAAAATAGAAATTCAATGAAAATAAAATGTCAATCATGAAAGAAACAATACGTTTGATTATGTGACATGTATGATATTTAAAACAAAATGTTTTAATATATATATTATAATTACAAATATATTATTTATAATAAATACTGGATAAATAAATTGAGGTGCAATATAACTACACAGACTTTTTAAAATTTAATATTTTTATATTTATGCTAACTTTATATTATAATTATTTTTTGAAAAAGTAGTTTTTTGTATTTAAAAAATAACAATACTTTTTTTATATCTTAAAGATATTCACTAAGATAACATGATAATGATGATGATTATGATGATGATGATAATGATGATGATGATGATGATGATGATCATAATAATAATAATAATAATAATAATAATAATAATAATTTTTAACACTAAGAATTTAAAATAAATATTTTAAAGTTTTTTTTAGGTTTTCCAATTTTTTGAAGTTTTTCCAAATTCTTCCAGTTTCTTTTAGTTCCTTCCAGTTTTTTCCAATTCCTTCCAGTTTCTTCCAGTTCTTCCAGTTTCTTCCAGTTTCTTCCAGTTTTTTCCAGTTTTTTCCAGTTCCTTCCAGTTTTTTCCAATTTCTTCCAACATCCAGCTCTTTTTTTACAGTCCTAGAGAACATGCCCTTAATGACATGTTCAAATAATTTTTCTAAGAACTTTTTATTTTCCCCAACTCCGGTCCCCAATTATCTCCCCTTAAGGAATTTTGTCCGCGAAATTCTCCTCAAGTCACACCTCACGTGTTTAGGGAGATGGTGCGTTACCCAAAATTTGTTTTTGGGACATACAAGAGCATAACGAGTTGAAGAGCAAACGACGGATTTCATTCAAGGATCTTATTTGGTTCAGACAAGTGGGACAACACGTTGTATCGATTACAACCTCGACTATGCCATAAGTTAGCACGTGACTCACTTGTCTAGTCGGGCTGAGTCCACTAGAGGAATATCCACACCTGCGCCGCAGATACTGTTGGCAGAGTCCACGCTGAACGTTTCCTCTGGATCATCTCTTTCCCATGCTGCCTTCCGGCGCTTCCAGATCCTTAGCTTTGCTATGCGAGCCTTACGATGTGCACGTTGGTAGCGCTCTTTCGAATCGTAATTCTGCCTCTTGTTCTTTCGTCTCTTACCAAGCACGAAGGTTCGACTGGAGTCAACGCTTAACACGCTTCTGGTACTAATGGTACTCATCTAACAATCGCAGAGTATCAAAATGGAAACAAGTGAGCGCATAAGGTGCATCTTCTTTTCGAGAGCTCATCACCTAGAAACTTCAAAGTTAAGCGTGCTTGACCTGGAGCAATTCTAGGATGGGTGACCCCTGAGAAGTTTCCTTGGGCGCGCACGAGTGAGGACAAAGTGCGCGAGAAAGACTTGTGTTGGTTTGTGGGGCCAGTCTATAATCCTATGAGCGGACACTTACGGCTAGGGTGGGGGCCGGGGTGTTACAAATGGTATCAGAGCAACCCTGCGACTGTGACGGTCCAAAAGAACTTAGTTCACCTAGCGGGGAAGATCTAGGGGTTTAAAAAAAAAAAGAAAAAAGGATGCAACGAGGACGTTGCATTCCTAAGTGGGGGTGAATGTAATACCCCGTATTAAGATGGGAATGGGAAGAGCTCAAAAAGGATTAATAGTACTACTCATACCAACAAATTGCATCTTCTTTTCGAGAGCTCATCACCTAGAAACTCCAAAGTTAATCATGCTTGACCTGGAGCAATTCTAGGATGGGTGACCCCCTGGGAAGTTTCCTTGGGCGCACACGAGTGAGGACAAAGTGCGCGGGAAAGACGGTTATCTTAAGTGTGAGTTTTAGGTTCAAGATATTTAAATAAGTGTGTAAAATTTTATTTGAATTCTAGATTTAAACCCCAAGTTAGGCTAAGAGTGTGTAATATCTCTTAAACACCAACTTGGTTTATCCATCCCTGAGTTTCTTCCATTTCATATATCCCCATTTCTCTTCTTCACCTTATTCTGTTCTTCCATTAACACACCCAAAAGAACTCATTCATCATCTCCATATTTTCCCGCCATTCCCCTGCACTAAAACCCCCTTTTTTGCCCAGAATTCTGCTAAATAATCGATTATCATGATTGAGAATCGATTATCAGTCCACCGTTGAACACCTGCAGGCTTCAATAGTCGAGTATCCTTTTTCAGACAATCGGCTATCAACCTTCCCAGAAAACCCGCAGCCCTCATTAGTCGATTGTCACCCTACTGTCATTCGATTATCACACCGTCCTGAAATCCTGTAAAGTTTGCCCAAGAACCTGAACCACTCGACAGTCGATTACCCACTTTGGACAATCGACTATCCTCCCTCCCTGCAAATAAAGAAGTTGTGTTCCTTAAGTCAAGGTTATTACCGATCGATAAACCCAGAGCCTAGATATAACAATAATATTGTAATAGAACCAATAACATTTAAAAAATGGATAGATTATATTAGAAAAATTGGGGGAATTAAGTCATGCCCCGATATTCATAGGTGAACTAATAGTCAATGTAAGAGCTTCCGTTAAGGTGATGACTTTATGTGGGTGTATCTATTACTACTAGCGGACCTAGAAAATTTCTTGACTCGAATTATCTTTCTAGTAAATATATACAAAACCTCTAAATATTAAACTTGTTATAATGTTATGATTTTGTTATGTTTATTACCATAACATTACTTGTCATCTATACAAAATTAGTTTAAATCATTAGGACTACGACCCTTTTTCGTCTTGTCCATGCTTCTTGAATTAAATTATATCATTAATAAATTTTAATAAAGTGCTAACTTATACCAACAATTAAAGCATGGGTAATAGTGGGGCAACAATAAAAAGTCACACGTTGACATAATATATTTCAAGTAATAAAAAATAATTCAGTCAGCAAGTAATATTTGAGTAGGTTGGCAAACTCCACAGTAACAAGTCATTATATATTTTTCATACGGCTTACATTTTTAATTGTTTTAATTATTAAAAAATATTTTTTTTATTTAATCCAAAAAAATACTTCAATTTAGGAAAAATACATTTACATTACCAATCATGATCATGCATGTACATTACGTAAAATGCCCATTATAGTGTCACATTACCACTGTACGAACTCATATTTGAGAAAAAAACATGTAACTTCTTGTAGAATATTATGAACTGAATTGGTTGGTTGTTTCCTTGATATAGTAGAATATATATACATGAGTTACGGGCCCAACATCACTAGCCCAATATACAAAATTACAATAAAACATATATACATAACGCTAACACTCCCCCTCAAGTTGGAGCATGGACATCAAAAATGCCCAACTTGGACAAAAGAGAATGAAAAAGCGGTGCCGGAAGCGCCTTTGTAAACATGTGCACGTTGGATACACTCTCGAACAATATGACAATCAATATCAATATGTTTGGAGCGTTCATGAAAGACCGGATTAGCAGCAATGAAGAGCGCAGACTTGTTATCGCAATACAATTTTGGAATAGCAACACAAGGAACAGCGAGCGCAGCAAGCAAACCACGGATCCACCGGATCTCTGCACATGCATTAGCCATGGCACGATACTCTGCCTCTGCAGAAGAACGAGAAATTGTAGTTTGCTTTTTAGTTCGCCACGAAATTGGAGAACCACCAAGCAAAATAAAATAACCTGTCACGGAACGTCGAGTAATGGGGCAACTCGCCCAATCAGAATCAGAGAAAGCCTGCAAAGCAAGATCACTGTCACTACGTAAGAGAATACCCTGTCCAGGATGCCCTTTGAGATAACGAAGAACACGTAAAGCAGCATTCCAATGGTCCAGCAGAGGGTCCTGCATAAACTGAGACAAAGTATGGACTGCATAACAAATATCCGGCCGAGTAATAGTCAGGTACAAGAGACGTCCAACAAGCCGCCGGTACTTCACCGGGTCCCGGAGCGCGGCACTAGTAGACCGAGCAAAATTATGAGCACTCGGCAGAGGAGTCCCAACAGGCTTACAACCAGACAAATTATGCTCTTGTATAATGTCGAGAGCATACTTTCGTTGATTAAGAACCATACCAGAGGAGTTACGGGCGCACTCTATGCCCAAAAAATAGGAGACCGGGCCAAGATCTTTTAGTCGAAAGCATTCATCCAGATATTTCTTAAATGAAGAGCACAGAGAAGGATTATTACCTGCCACAAGAATATCATCAACATATACGAGAACCACAAGTATATCAGGCCCACGATGTAAAACAAATAAAGTGTGATCAGCATGTGCCTGACGAAACCCAAAACGACGTAGTGCTAGACGAAGCTTAGCAAACCAGTTACGGGGAGATTGACGAAGCCCATATAAAGACTTCCGCAAACGACACACCTTCCCCGGAAATAAATGAGTGTAGCTAGGAGGAACCTTCATGTAAACCTCATCAGGAAGATCCCCATGCAAAAAGGCATTATTGACGTCAAGCTGATCAACCTGCCAACCACGAGCAACAGCAACAGAAAGTAAAACTCGGACAGTAGCCAATTTTGCCACAGGGGCGAAGGTGTCAGTAAAATCAACACCCAGTTCTTGATGATTGCCCAGTACAACCAAGCGAGCTTTGTCACGTTCTTTGGTACCATCAGATTTGTATTTAGTGCGAAACACCCATTGACACCCAAGAGCCCTACGATGAGGTGGCAAAGTGGTAATATCCCATGTGTGGTTCCTCACCAAAGCATTAAACTCCTCCGCCATGGCATCTCTCCAAGAAGCATACTTAACGGCTTCCTTAAAATTTTTAGGGACCGGGGAAGCATCAATTGCACCAAGAAAGCCTTTGTACCTGTCATGCAACTTATCAAAATGAACAAAGTTAGTAATAGGGAACCGAGTACCTAACGGGACCGAACCGGATGAGGTAGGAGACGGGCTATCAACTTTTGCGGAATTGAGAACATAGTCATTTAGACGAGACGGTAAGCGACGCGTACGAGGAGGTAACTGGACCGGTGTATCGGAGGGAGAAGTGGTCTCCCCCGAGGAAGGGGACGGACTGCTTGAGGACGCGTCACTGGTCGGGGACGATGAGGGGGTGGCGGACTCGTCACTGCCCGAGGAAGGTGACGGACTGGTAGGAGTAGACTGGGCAGCGACTGGGGTGGGGGTAGGTGACTGGGGCGGTACGACAGGTGGAACAGCCGGAAAGTCTTCGGCGGAAGGGTTGAGAACCGGCGTGGACGACGGTGTAGACTGTGGGACTGAGAATGGGAATTGGGTTTCGTCGAAGACAACATCCCGGGTATGGAAAAACTGATGTGTTTCAAGATTATATACCCGCCACCCTTTTGTACCATAAGGATATCCCACGAACATACATTTGACACTTCGAGGGGAGAATTTATTTGTGGGTTTGGGATTGAGACGAACAAAGCACAAACAACCAAAGACAC